TCTACCATTGACTTTGCATGTAAACTCGCTGCTTCTGTCGCGCCAGCTGCCCCCGGTGTGAACGCAGCATTACTCTTACATGATAAAAATGAGACACAACTTAAACAATAAATAAACCTTTAAACAAAGAAGACATTAACAGTGGATGGCAGATAGAGGGATTAGCCTCTGACCTCTGACCTTTATATGGAGCCAAAACATGACCCTGCTGATGATCCGTCTCTACACTGGAATATCCGTTACCATGGAGAATCCTAATTAGGCTAGCATCATATGTTAGCGTTAGCATCGGGATCGGCCAGTGAAACATATCGGCCCGATAAGCAGAACTGGGTCAGAACTAACTACCGATATTTCTCTGCAGGTTTCAGGAGGATCGGATCGGTCATGTGGCGTTTGCTAGTTCATGTGCAGCAAAGGATTGTGGGTATTTATCTGTGGTGGTTTCTATGGCCCTCCACCCGCTCCAGCCCAGCGTTACACCTTAGTTTGGTCAACGAGCAACAAGTTTCACCACCAGCTGAAATGTGTTTGGGTTAAAAAGCTAATAAATGGTTTATGTGGAGATAAAATCGGAATAAAACGGCTGATCGGACAAAAACGCGTCACGTAAACACGGCGATCGGAATATTCTGCTAGCAGCTGTCTAGAGCGAAATCCGCCATGATGGTGCGAGGCGCACGTTTAGCTTCAAGTGTTTATATAAACGCTGATCGATCAGTCAGCGTAAATCGATCAGACGACGTCACATGACCGATATTTTTAGTCTTTCTTTAAACCAGCTGGTTCATAATAAATAAATCTGTAGTTTTTCTGTTTTTGAGCAAAATAACTTCATTAATACAGTAAATTATTCACTATTCTGGGAGAAGTCCAGTCAGCCCATGCACATTTCTAGGCCGGTCCAGGCCATCACATGATATTCTAATCAAAAAAGTTCACATTATAAATAATAATAGTAAACGGAGTTAATTGCCGTGTAATGAAGCTATAATAAAATAAATAAGGACCATATTAGTGCATTTAAGACATGAAATGATCGTTTATTATTAGGATTTCATCACGATTTAGGTTTATTGATTCTGATTAATTCCCTCCTGCTCTTCCTGTTGGAGCTCCTCCTCAGAGAGGAGCAGCGTCCTCCTCTCTGCTGTGATGATGTTTCCACAGGAACGCCTCACTTTATGCAGCAGGAGGAGCGAGGAGGAGGAAGAGGAGAATCCAGGGATTAAAGCAAAACAATCCTGAGCCTATTTTATATATACTATTAGGGATGCACGATATTGGGATTTTGGCCAATATCCGATATTTTAAAACTC